CTTGAAACTGTTTCAGTCCCTATGGGTTGGGGGTTAGGGGAACTTTTTCCCTGGTACTAACAGCTCCTGGGTCCCTGGCGCTGAAAGGAGGCTCCTCTGAACAGACTGGGGTTGGCTGGTGGACAATTGAAGGGGATTCTTGGCACCCATTTTAATTCAAAAGAAGGCACGCCTGTGGGCTTCCCCACGGGGCAGTGTGGGGAGCTGAGGTAGCAGGAAGAGAAAGCAGAAGCTGAGGCCTTTCTTACTGAGTCCTGGAGTGTAGCTGCTCTGTCTCTTCTAGATTATTAGCCCTGCCAGCGTAGGCAAGAGGGCACTGGGGTTGGAGAGGTCTGCAGGCTGTCTTGGGCACGGGTTCAGGACTATCCTCACTTCAAGCATTTAGTGTTCATCACCTTCCAAAGTCCCTGTAAACCACCTTAATCTTGGGAAGACATCAATGAGGGACAAAGGGGACACATAAAGTCCTGGAAGTCAGACCCCAAGAGCTTACTGAGTAACAGGGCTTGAAGCCAGATTGAACACACGCTGGAATATGGGGGAGATCAGTAGATCGTGCAATAGTCGCTGAGCCGCAGAGATTGAAGGACAGGAAAGACAAGGAAGAGGAAAAGGAAATCTATAGGATTTCCATGTGGGGGTCCTAGGGGCAAGGAAATAAAGCGGGCAGGGAAATCCTGGGATCTTTTAGGAATAAATGCCGAAAGGTTCGGGACCTCTAGCGGACAAAAAAGGGAACAAGTCACGCGTGCCTCTCTACCCAAAACAAAAATGGCCGCGGGAGAAGCCGGTCTAAACCGCAAGGACATTTGAAAATGAGAAAAGAAGCCCCGCCCTTGTATGGGCAAAGTGCCCTTCTCAAAAATGGCCACCATGGCGTTCTCTAGAAGGGAACTGCTCTGGGCCCCGCCTTTGATCTCGTTGGTGGGGCTAGGGGGATAAGAACTGCACCGCGCGGGACAAGTCGCCGGCGGCGCCTGACGGAGCAGGTGATTTCCCCTCCAGCCTTAGGAAAGTCGCAGAGAGCATTGACACAGGGTACCCCTCCTGGCGTTCCCTTACGGTACCCCCCGGGGGGTGTCGGCCGGACCCCTTTCTCTAATTGTCTCCGTGGCCTGTATGGAGGAACATCTAGCTTGTTCAGGCCTATCTCGTCATGTGACTCACCCTCTCCTGAGGCAGCTGCTGCATCCCTGTGTCCTCAGGCCAGCTAACGGTTATAAAAAGCTCTTGCTTCAAGGGTCGGCCATCAAGGGGATCCCACTTCCTGTGCTTCACCTCCCGGGGGTTTGTGCACCTGTCTGACTTTGGATGGTGGGATCCCTTGTTCTCCACAATGTCCTTGGTACTACTAAGACCCGAGGTGGGGATTAGGGTGAAATAGTATTTGCTAGGGCCTTCATTATGCTTCATCGTATCTTTATTAAAGGGCACGGAAGAAGTAGTGAAGACCTCTGGGCTAAGGACCCCTTGCTACTCCCTTAGCTCTCCAGGACTCCTTCCCACATTGCTTCCCAGGAATTCTCCATCCACATGGCCTGCTCTCAATTGCTACTTAGTGCCTCTCCTCTGAGGGTGTAGCATGAAACTAAGTTGCCCAGAGGATCTCTCCAGCCCTGCATCCTCTAATAGAGTGTCTGAAGGGTGCAGGGCGGTACCTAGTCCTTTGGGAGGTTCTCAAGCCATCGTGGGTCAGTGAGGATGGGTAGCTGAGTTAGTTGGCTGAAGAGAGGAATCCTGTTTGTAGAGGCAGAGGGAAAGATGTTTTGAACAGGGAGATGGGGCGGACAAAGATACTGATGTAGGCAAGACTGATGGCCAGGCAGGAGAGGCCACTCCACTGGCATCATGAGAGGTGGTGCATCAGTTAACAGAGGCTTCTGATGTCAGGCTTTCCCTGTGTGAATCTGCCATCACCCTACCCTGTAACCTTAGGAAAGTTTCTCAGATTTCCAGTGCCTTCATTTCCTTTCAGGTAACAGGCACAATAGAGCTATCCACGTTTTAAAGCTACTCTGAGGATTAAGAAAGTTAATGCAATGCTTTATATGCAGTCAGTAGACGCTGCTTTTTATCATCAGAGATGTTTTTCCTAATGTTTTTAGATTTATTTAATCAAACATATGTATGTACATTACTCTTTTGCTTGCACGTATGTCTGAGTACCACATGCATGCCTGGTGCCCTTGGAGCTCAAAGAGAGTGTTGCATCCCCAGGGACTGGAGTTCTGTAAAATTGTGAGTGCTGGGAATCTAGCTTAGGTCTAATGCAGGAGGTGTTCCTAACTGGTAACCTGTCTCTCCAGCCCCCACCAGAGGTATTTTAGCAGGATTCATGACACAATGGTTGTCACATTTCATAGACACCACCAAAGAGCGATCTCTGATTGGGGCTCTCAAGAAGTGATGGAATTCTGTGGGCTATTATCTGGAATTTGAAAAGTTCCATGGAAGTCCTGATTTTTACTCCAGACTAAAACCAAGATGCTCAGATTGACTCAGGAAGCCAATTTAGTAGTTCAAGTCTTCCCCAGCTCAGGGGAGAAAAATATTAGGGGGTTCTGTCAAGCAGGAAGGATTTGTCAGGGGAGCTGGGAGGATGGAGAAAGGTGTGAAGAGAGATGTGGCAAATGTTAAAATGTTTGATCAGCCCAAGAACAAAAGGAAAGGTGATGATGGCCCCTTAGCAGAAAAGACAGCCATAGAACCTTGAAGGAAAAGGCATTTACTTTGAAGACAGTGAGGAGCTCTCCAGTAACAACTTTGCAGCCCCATACCCTTTGGTTAGAAATCTGGAGACATCACATATATCCCTGAGAAAGCTTCCCCAGAAACTGGGCTTTCATAGGCAGACAAGTTTCTTTTTCCCTGCAGAGGTTCCCAGTCAGGGTATGAAGGTGGGTACGTCTCTGGAGGGGGCTACCTTTCCAGGGGAATTGCATGATGGGGACTAGAATGCCCGGGCTAAGGTGTTCTGCCCCCGCACAGAGGCCCATGGCTAAGGGCAGAGGGTGGCCATCTCCTTGGGAGATGAGAGTTACTCAGTCCTCCTTCCCAAAGTGACTTGTTATGTCACAGCTACATTGCTGAAGGGATCAGATTCTGTGGGAATCGTGATATCCCTCATCCACAGAGTTAACCCTAACTTGACTGGAGAGTTGCTGGGATCCAGCTGAGGGCCTCCCTCATGCAGGCCTCTTATGGCTGAGCTGCAGCCCCTGAACTTGGATCTAACTGCAGTTCACTCAGGTGACTCCCTGCTCCCTTAGACTCAGTGGGCTTCACTCATCTATGCAGACAGGGGTCGCTGATTTTTGAGTGCCTGGTTCCCCAGGATGTTGAGGGTTCATTGGTGAATAAGCTAAGATTGGAGCAAGGTTCAAGGGAAGGGGAGGGGAGGGGAGAATCAGGAGAGTCATCTTCGACTTCATAATACAACTGGAAGAAACATTAAACATGGTCCGAATAATTCATTAACTATAGCTGTGAGAAGCCCCAGTAAGAGAGGAAAAGTCCACTCTATCCAGAGAGTATTGGGCAGAGGTAGACTAGCCCTAAAAGTGTGCCCTTGAACGTTGACACACCGAAAGCAAGTCAGGATGGGGAGTGGTCCAGGGATGATGTCCTGATGAGGCTGGAGAGGTTGGTGAAAAATAGGTGGGGATAAGGCCATAACTCAGAGGCCACAGAAAGATTCTAGACTTTCTGAAAACATCATAGAAAGTCATTGTTAAGTTTAATATTAATTAATTAATTAATTAATGAGACAGGGTCTCACTTTGTAGCTTGACTGGCCTAGAACTCACTATGTAGACCAGGCTGGCCTCAACTCACAGAGGTCCACCTGCTTCTGCTTGCTGAGTACTGGGATTAAAGGTCTGAGCCACCACATCACCATTCGTCAAAAGTTTCATTGTGTTGTGGTGGGACAAAAGGGGCTGTCAGACCCTATGTCAGGGAGCCTCCTGGTACGGATGCTGACATACAGACTCTGGTACTCTGATACAGCAGTAAGTACTCTTCACCACTGAGGCATCTCTCCACCCCAACTATTGGACTTTACTTAGATCATACAGCCATGGTGTGGAAAAGACATTGCTGGGGAAGAGATGGAAGACAGGAGTGTCAAGGCGAGCTAGAAAAACCAAAATGAAATGCTCTAGGTTCGTCAAGAAAGTGATACTGCCTCATACAGGGCAGTGGTGGTACATGCCTTTCATCCCAGTACTTGGGAGGCAGACAGGCGGATTTCTGAGTTCTGAGTTCCAGGACAGCCAGGGTTACACAGAGAAACCCTATCTCAAAACACAAAACAAAAACAAACACACAAAAAGGAGATTCTGTCTCAAAAACCCCACGGCTCATGCATTTAATCACAACACTTGGGAGGCAGAAGCAGGAGAATCTCTGAGTTCAAGACCATGCTGGTCTGCATAGAGAGTTCCAGGACAGCCAGGACTAAATAGAGAGACCTCGTCTTAAATAAACAAAAAAGGTAGGGAATCGATTGAAGCACACAACCTGTTGTCATCCTCTGGCCTCCATATACACACACTCCATTAGCAAGCCGCCCACGTTCCCACCGCACGGCACACACAGCACAGCACACACACAATACACACAGCACACACAGCAC